ACACTTGCCACTGATGACTAGAAAGTCAAAACGTAAGACAGGATTTCCAAAGAACATTACTAAACTTCTCCTCAAATATGATAATTCAGTAAACAACTGGATGATGGGATGTTTTCATTGTGTGGCTCAAAAAGTGAGATCTTTAGCTCCACATGAAAGCCTGCATGATTTGCCTCTTACTGGCAACTGCTCTGTCCTCCCAGAAGTAATGGCTCTTACTAACATTTCTGTCTCTGGATCCAATCATCATAAGACCCTGAAGAGACATTATCAATTGGAGCTCACAAACAAGAAGGTTGTTTGACATCTCTGACATGGACCTCAATGTTCAGTCCTGAAATCCATAACTTGCTAGATTGTGTTCATTCCCATTGATGAGACAGCAAAATGTAAAACAGAAAACAATTTCCAACTGTTTCAAGATGCCAGTTTGTAAAACCCATGCTGTGCCACAAGAAAGAGACGAAGATGAAGCCTTATAAAACCCTGAATCATGTTCCATTTCCTAGTTACATAACTAGAGAGAATATGGTAACTGCCAAGGCCATAAAGGTGATCTTGCCTATGAAAACTAATGAGGAGTTATGATTGCCAGTGGAGAAAACAAATCACAGTATGGTGCATCAAGTGGGTAAAGATTATTTTGAGGAAGTTCCACTTCAGATGAATGGAGAGGTATTGAAGGGCTTCCTCAGAAGTTAGGTATTCCTAACTTTACTGGCATATACGGAACTTCTGAGTCCATTATTTAGGTCTTGCAAGTAAGGAAATACAGGCCAAAGATGGGAAGAAAATGGCTCTATACATGGAATGATAGCCTATAAAGTATAATAAAAAAAATACATAATTTTTCTGCCATGAATATGAAGATATGACCAAATAAATCCTAACTCCAGTACATATGAACTTCCATTGCTGAAAGGAATCTTCTATCTTTAGCATGATGGTGATTTAGCTTAATGTTCATCCTTTACTGATAAATGTAATATTGAGATCTAGCTCACGATAAGAGCAATGAAAAAGATGTCTGAGAAATTATGTATAAAGATGAAATTAAGATAAAAAGTACATTCTTACAAAGAACCGTTCATGCCTAAAGTAGCTCTTTTTATATTCATTTGAATATAAATGTTTTGTGTTAGTAATAAGTAACATGCTATGCATGTTATGAATGCATAATAATGGATTCTCGGCCAAATGACTGACATTCAGTCTGCAATAACTTTCTAGCTTCATGGTTTTGATTGCATATAAGAAGTGTTCCACTACAGCTATGCCAATTTTAAGTGACTGAAATGAAAATATTATCAAATACTTCATACATGCCACCCTCCACAAGTGACCTATGCAAGCATAAAAAAAAAAAAAGCCAATTGCTTCTGTGTTGGAGAATGCACTTCAAGGGTAGCTTCTTTTACACTGCTGACCTTCAGGCTGTACACTAGTGGAGCTATACCAAGTTATACTATCAGAAAGCCTGGTCCACATTTTTCTTAAAAGTAATGCCATGACATCATTCTAAACACAGTACACTGAACTCTATAATCTGGACTTGGAAAGGATGTGAAAAAAAATATACAACTTGAAGCAAAGATGTAGAAAAGGAAAAATGCTTTCTTTGATGGTTCATCATCAACAGTACCATATTTACCACTATGGTTTCCTGGTGCTTAACAAAAGTATTTAAACGAACAAAAGTTCTTTTCTATATCTTTCTCCACCCATTCTGGACAGCTGGTGACTTCAATTTTGGGTGAACTTTTTAACTCACCCAAAAAAATTTTTTTTAAATTTCACTTGTAAATCAGTTCAATCTGAAATTTTTTTAGTGATATTTCAGAATTCCCAGGGAACTAATGAATCCAATATTTGCTCAACTATACCATACTATTCTATACTATACCATGCCATAACAACTGTGCCAGCACAGGATCATAGAAAAGTAGCATTAGAAGGCCTTGCAAGGTCACCTATTCCAGCCTCCTGCTCAAGGCAGTATCATTCCTGTCTAAACTATCCCACCTTGTCTAACCTCCTTTTGAAAGTTTCCAAGGATGGAGATTCCACAACTGCTCTAGGTATCCTGTTGCAATGTCTAACCACACGCATCGTCAGAAAGTTCCTCAAACTAAACTCCCCCTGCTGCAGTTTGAGATCATTGCTCCTAGTCCTGTCCCCTTCAGCCACAAAAAAAGCCCACCTCCATCCTCCCTATAATCACCCTACAGGTATTTGAAGACTGTTATCAATCTACCTCCTGAGTTCTCTTCTCCAAGCTAAATAACCCTAGTTCTTTCAGCCTTTCCTCATAAGTCTGGTTTCCCAGGCCCCTGATCATTTTTGCTGCCCTGTGCTAGACACTTTCCAAACTGTCCATGTCCTGGGAGGAGTAAGGGACCTCTATAATGGTTCATGGCACAAAGTGAGGCAGAGACCATGATCAGCACCTCTAATGAAACAGGGAGGTATCCTCCCCAGCCAAAAATGGGGCTACCACCTACAACAAGAAGCATCTTCCTCATCCCCAACTTTTCATGGCCCCTATGCTATAAAAACTGCTATAATCTTGCCCCCAGCTGTCAAGAAGTTCTGGTCTAACACATAGGTCAACCCACTGAGGTTACACTAAACCACCTCAGCTTAAACTAATGAGACAAAATTGGGTCCACACACTACATGACCGAGGCCCTCTTCTGTCAAAATCAAGAAAGAAGCATTTCTAATCCATTGTGGCATGAATAATATGCAACACCCAATTAATCTTTTTCTTATTTATTTGGGGTACACATATCATTCATACCAAAAATTACCACCAGGTGCAACTCCAGTGAAATCAAAGAAATACATCTGTAATGTAAATTTGTTAGGAGAAAGTACACAGTATACATCAACACTATTAGCCAGAAAAGCTACTGAAGTGGGCAAGAAGATAACTGAGGCACTTTTAAGTGCCCTAAAATATGCATGTATGCAGCTCCCCATTAAATGCTAATAGAAGTAATAAGCAATCACTAAGTAGGACAACATATCCCTAGACTAATGGACACAATAATAAAAAAGAACTTTTATGAGTGTAATCATTTAGACTATATTCGTTTACACTATATTAGTCTTAAGTCCCTAAATCAAATTTCATCAGAGGCTTTGTCTGTTTGGTAAATAATAAATTCATATTAGGGCCTGATTAAAAACCTAGTAGAGTCAATACAACAATTCCCAATTTAGAACTCAGATAGCAGTAAAACCCTGGCGCAAGCTTCAAAGAGACAAAAAAACTTGAAGATAATTAGAAGCTCTATTCTGAATTCATTGTTGTATTGCTTGTGATGACATTTTCTTTCAAAGGAACTTGTAAGGGTGGACAAACCTATATGTAAATAATGATCAGCAACTTCGTCTCCAATTCAAGTTGCTGTTTGCAAGTTTTAGCCTTCCATAGGAGTTCATCATTTTGTACATGCAAGCCTAATCCATTATTTACGCATGCAAAACATATGCATGCCACCTGCTTCTCAAGAAATAATTATGGTAAAATATATAGAGAAAAAACATCTTTCAGCTGAATCAATTATGGTCACTCCCTGTAAAGGGGTTACAAAAAAGTTACAAATTTCACTTCTGAACACTGACGTACAATCATTTCAGACACATGGTATTTTTGTTTTTTCCATGGTCATTAATATATTAAATTTTTGTTCCACTGTCTGAAGAACAAAAGTTCTGTTCCAACTAACCAACTTTACATCCTACTGCATTGCAATACATATCCTCATAGGATGTTTTGTATTCTTTACTTTTCAAAAACATGAATGCCCATTTGTTCTCCTTTTGTGCAAAGCCAGGCTGCCACAATCAACAGGAGTATAATTCTATATGGAGAAGGGAACCTGGACAGATTCTGCAGGAGCATATTCAAAACCAAACCTGTACCTGTATGAAATCTCTATTTGTTTTCTGCCGTAATTGCCCTTCTTCCTTCTGATTTTGTGATGCTCCCTTACTTCTGCATCTGGGATGAGTGAATAAGGTATAAAGTCCTGCTGCATTTAAGAGAAAGTCTGGCAGACACTCAAGACCTACAAAGTCCCCTGGGAGGTTCCCAAAAACAATCATTTTGGATTCCCACCACTGGGACTCTACTTTCTTACAGCCTCATCTGTAGTTTTGAAAATCTGTTCATAATTTAAAATCCTCAAGACAGATTTGGGCAGGCAAGCACATCTTAGCAAGTCACCCTCATGCTTCTTATATTACAACCCCATTTCCCATAGCAGAGCCAACCCCCCCAGCTGAGAATACAGACAACCTGCTTTACAATTCATTTCTATAACCGTCAGAAAGTTCTCAAGACCAATTAAAGTTATTGCCCACACCCTATATACTAAAGGTGATTCAACCTCTCAGTGACCTGATATGACCAAGTAGTCCATTATCAGAGTCCCTTCTGTACATGTCCTTATTATTATTTCAAGAGTTAATCCTTTCTACTATAAAAAATACACATAACTATGCTTAAACATACTAAAATAATCACCCAGCATATTATTTATAATACTCTAAAGGAGTGCATGAAAGGGACACTGGAAAACTAACTTGATTATTACTAGGACCTTTTGTTGTTAAAAGGGCAACCAGCACCCAGATAACACACATCATCCATTTAGACTATTTTGTAAATAAATAAAATACTATAAAATATAGGGATCTTTTTATACATAAAAACTATTTTACATTGCAAATTACATACAAAGTCATCTTCTTCAAGAAAAAGGTGCTTTAGGATGGACATAATATTTATTAGACTGTTGTATAATCATCAAATCTGTAATGCCAATGTATTCAATTAAAAACCTGTCTACATGGTAGTATGCACTGCTTCATGACTTAAAATTTGTTTACATATCAGAAACTATAACAGTTTCTTTGCATATCTGTTGCATTTGAATGAATTCTTCCAAACATTTCTCTCACGCTCCCCTTTCTCCCCCAAGGAAGTTTACCAATGCACAGAGCAAGTCAACTGCTTCCAGAATAAGTTCCTGATGGCCAATTCGGGTGACTCCCAGATCTTCCAATTCTTGGTGAGTAATACGTAGCAGCTGGTCCCCACTAATCTTCTCCCTCTCGAAGTTCTTAATATATTGTTGCAGGCAGTCATCAAGACCTATGAGAAAGAAAGAAAGGAAAAAAAATTAACATGCTGAGCTACTTCTCCAGTGACTAGATGGGGCTTCTGCCTGGAAGCTGCAGCAGATGCAGAACAAAGTAGAGACCCATCTTCTGATGAGGATGGGTCACCAGGAGTGCATTTCTTTAGTACTCCAGAATCTGCCTTGTCTTATAATAGCTTTCCTGGTATAATCCAAAGTGCTTTTTGACCTATAAGGCCCTGAACAGTCTGTGCTTTACATATTTAAGGGACCACCTTTTTCCTTACTTTCCACCGCAATCCCTAACTGCACATTTGGGCAGGTCTTCAGCAGGCTAGGTTAAATTTTGGGGTGCTGCCTAGGGACTTGGTTCTATTACATACAATTTAATTTTTATATTTTTATCTGTTCTTTATTTGTTCTTGTAAGCTGCCCTGAACCTCTTTCATGGAGAGCAACATATAAATCAAATGAACAAGTAAAAAATAAAATGGCATGGACCAACTAAATCCAAATCAGTGAAAGGTATATGCAAAAACTCTAAACCAACCCAAAAAGTATAAGTTAGCCTTTTCTCACCTTTACACCCACCAGAATACACAGGCTGCTCTAGAGCAGTTCTGGCTTCCATTTGGCTCAATTTATGGTAGTCTTGAATCCCATACAGCAGGAAACATAGGACCAAAAGAGGTCTGTTTAGCCAGAGCCCCTTACATATGCAATCATTTTACCCAGGGTATCCTTGAAAAAGCCACTTCAAACCCTCAAACACAATTACAAGGCACTATATACAAGCTGGCATGTCTCCTATGTTGAGGTTTGCAAGAAGAGCAATCGCAGGGGGCTCACAGCAGCATCATGCTATACACCTGCATTAGGGAAATACTCCCCTGACAAGTTGCATCAAAATCAATAGCAGAAAGAGAGATACTATGTAGGACTTAATGCTCGGGCCATTTAGCTGCAGTTTCAGCCTGATGAGTCTCACCGTACTACATATTTTGCCTAGAGCAAAAACGACCACATTATTTGACGTAATTTATCATAATTTAAATAGCAGCCTTTATTCAAGCAGCCCAAAGCAATATGGCTAAGTACAGTCAAAAAGCCTGAGGCTGAACTGATTCAGTCTTTGCAGGTTAATCTAAGCTGCATAGACTGAACCAATAAGCAAGTGAACAGGCATTCACTTTTGCTTCTGGAAATGCAGCCACATGCCTGCAGTGGCCCAGGCCAAAAGCCAGTGGGTGTTAAAGCATGCTTCCCTGCTTGGCTAGAGCAGGCAGCATGGACCAAGGCTAGCCCACCCACCCTGTGAAGAGAGTTTTGCACAGGAGTTGCAAAGCATCCTGGGATGCTGGAAGACTGAGTTAACTTGAATCTGGAGGGGATCTGGGACAGGAGTTCAATGAATCAATTTAACCTAAATCAGTTCAGTCTGATACTCTATCCATCCAGATTTATCTTACACCGGTATTGGCCATTTTAAAAGCAGGGACAGACATTCAAAAAGCCCGAATTGATTCAATCTTTGAAGGTTAGTCTAACTTGACTAGGCTGAACTGGGCTGAAACTGGACAGACATTCTCTCAGGACTGAGGAAATTTGGGCACATGCTTGCAGTGGCTCGGGCTAAAAGACAGGGGACAGCAGCTCTCCCTTCCCCCTTCTGTAGGGAGCTGAGCTGAGCTGAGGTGGGGGCAGCCAGACCCCAGCAGGACTCTCTCAGTAGGAAGGTCTGCCTGCACAGTCCCAAACTTTTCCCCGCTGACTGCTTAAGGGGTGGGAGTGTTGCCAGCCCCCAGCCCTGAGCTAGCATTCTGAGGCAAGCGGTCTGTGCAGTGCATGCATCTGTTGATGATACCGAGCTTTTCAATGTCCCTCCCTGCTTCATCATACTGTCTGCAGCACACAGAGGCAAGCAAGCCAGCTGGGGGGCTGATAACAGTCTTTATCACCCGATTAGCAAAACAAATAGCCTCTCTCCACATTACTTCAAACTTCTTAAACAGCTTACTGGCTGGCCTACTGATTAGCTCCAAAAGCCCTAAGTGGTCACTGTCTGTCTGCCTATCCCAGTGAAATTGGAGAGAGAGACACATGCACAGACACCTCTCAGTATTAGCTAGCATACCACATGCTGGCTACAGTCTGTGCTGTGGCAGAGAGGAGGAAGGGATCTCTGCTTAAGCAGCAAGTGGTGAGAAGAGGGGAGAGTGGGGCACGAGGAAACCAACAGACCCTGCTGTGCCTACAAATCTGTGCCAAGCTCCAGCCTTGGAGCAGAGGGGAGGAGCCAGCCCTGCTGTGAAGCAGACAGCCCCATCCAGCCCAGAGAGCATGCCAGGATGGTGGGGGGCTCTGATTTAACTTAAACCAGCAAGGGATCTGGGGCAGACATTGCATAAGCCAGTTTGAACCAAATCAGTTAAGTCTGATACTACATTCAATCAGGTTTATCTAAACCAGTTTCTGTCATTTTCAAACTGGTTTATGTGCACTGAACATCTGTTGTTACAGGTTTAAATGTTGTCCAATTCTGACTTGTACACTTCAAATCTCTTACTTTGCTGCACAAAAGTACTGTCGGACCTTTTAACGTTCAGAGCCTAAGTAGGTACAAATACATTAAATTACCTCAGCTTAAGGAAGCATTCAGTAGGATCCTAAAGGATGTGCTAGGATTCAGTCCCTAAAAACCTTTGTTCTACTACATGTCTTTACCTCAGGAGTGCCACTGAGGCAGCATGCTTCTTGGCTGGATGTTTCCACCCAGAGCAAATCAAGATGTCTGCAGCACAAAAAAGTTGATGTGAAACTGGTGTGTCACCAGCCCAGCCTATCAGATTTTTTGTGGATTATTAATTTTGTGTTATTGCATGTTATCATGTTAGGCTCTACTGTGGGAAGCAGTAAACACACACTATTCATCACTGCCATATCATGGAGTCTGTGGTGGAGTGAGGTCACTACCCTTTCTCCTGAGACGCACAATGGCAGCTACTGTGTATCTATCCGCACAAGGAACACATGTGCTAACGTTGTAAAGTTCTAAGTATTATCCCAACTGCTAGCAAACCCCACAAACTTCTGAAATCTGCAGAAGGACAGAAATTTTGAGCCATTTTTCCATCATCACACAGATCTCCAGTGTTCTAGGCAGTGCATTAGCCATAACCCTATCACCTTCCAATAGGGCTAGGAACAGAAATATACCTAAACTGGTTTAAGTTATCCAAAATTGGTTAAAGATAAACCTGGATGGATGTAGTATCAGATTTAACTGATTAGGTCAAATCCAGCTTATGGAACTTCTGTCTCAGATCCCTTCCTAATTCAAGTTAACTCACAGTCCCCCAACAGCTCTGATCTGTGTTGTCTACTTCCGTAGAGCAGGGCTGGCCCCTTCCCCAGCTATCACAGATCTAAGCAACTAAAGCCTCTGCTCCCTGCCAGTCTGTCAGCCTGGCAGGATTGGGGGGTGGGGCATGAGAACAGCTCCTCAAGCCCTTCTCTGTACAGGACAAGGGGAAGGAAAACCCTAGCAGTCAGGGCTTTTCATCCCTGCAGCAACCATGTGAGCAGGGTTGGCATCAGCTCAGCCCCACCACCTCCTCAGCCACTGGCCCAGACCAAGCCTCCCCCCCAGCTAGGGTCTACCTGGCACAGGGGGAAAGCCCTGACTAGGAGCTTTTTGATCCCCTGCTTGCAGGGCTGGCATCAGCTCAGCCTCTCCAGCTCAGCTAGGCACTGCTCCCCCACCCCTCAGCTGGGGTCTGCCTCATGTGGGTGAGGAGGGAAGGGAAGCCTCACAGGGAGCTTTTCACTCCCCGTCAACCCAGCTTGTCAGGCTGGCATGAGCTCACCTTGCCCCCTCCCCAGCTGGGGGGCCAGGGCCACGTGGCGTTTTCCCCCTCCCCACCCCCCTCTCAGAGGGGTGGCTGTGGAGAGATTTTCTGCTGGCTCTCCCCTCCCTGTGCCTAGACTGCCACTGGGCTGGGTTTAGCAGCCTTAAGTAGTTGATCACGAGGGGTGGTGTGCATGAGCACCCCTAGGCTCCTGGCCTGAGTCAGTGCAGACTTCTGCCTGTCTTGGCCACCCAAACACTGAATGTCAGTTCTTTTTTTTTTTTTTTTAAATCAGTTACGCAGCTTAGAAAAATCTGCAAAGATTGAACCAATTCCACCTTGGACTTTTTGAACCTCTGTACTTAGCTCAACAGAAGCAACAAACTATTAGTCTAGTATTTTGTACCTTCATTTCTTCTATTCTTTTTCCTTTACAATCATGGAGCTCTTCCTCTTTATAGAGACAGAGGAGGAAGAAAGGCATCTTAACCATAAATCATGACTCATTTGTACTAAACACCTTGCTTGCCTTGACTCTTCAGGAGCTAGAAGTTCTCTCTTACTTTTAATAAGGAAAAAGGCAATAGTTAAATGTGCAATAATAAGGGTAATCTAATGAAGTCCTTTTTTTCTCTTAAATCCCATTCTCCAATAAAAGAAAGACGGCATTATGAATTGGTCAAAACGGAATCACTCTCAGCAAGTTTTAGATCAAATCACTCTATGACTTAGCTGTCATCGGAGACAAAAGAGACTATTTATCATTCAAATTCAATCACCATCACCAATGGCTCAGCTTACACTGAAGTATGAGGCAGCATCATTGTTATTATTTTCTTTAGAAAAAAACAAAAACAGTGTTATTGATGCTTTGGGCAACCAAACTAAGTTAAAAAGAAAATGAGTAAGATGCCTATGAAAGCACTCAGAGCATAACAAAGGAGGCTAATTCTATTTATTTCAGGGAATTTAGATACCACTGTTTCATATCATGAAGCGCTAATTCGTAGGTCTTAAATTACCAATTTTATTTATGCCCAAGTCACTTGCATTGGATACCTTCAACTCATTTAGGTCCTGCCATACCCCTACAGGAGTCTATGCACTCAGAGAGACAACGTAAGGATACCAGCAGTGCCATAGTGGGTTAGACCAATGGCCCATCT